TAGGGAATTGCAGTTAAATCAGTGCAGCACTGTTAAAAACGAACAAACCACAAGGTCTGGTAACCTTACTGCTGTTGTCTTAGCTTACAAACGTTGGTATGGCATTGCCTCAGCTGTTTATGCATGTGCAGTCCTTTAAGTTAACCAGCCTTCAGGATCTGATCTCTTGTTTTCTAGCTGTGTGGCTGCGTATTTAGCTTATGACTGTTTCAGTTAGGAAAAGTACAGTCAGATGGTGAGATTCCTTCAAGTTTTTAATATAGCTTTTAAGTCGTGTTGCACTGAATGTTCATTTACATTTGGAAAAATATAAACACTGGGTTTCAGCCAGGTGAGAGGCAAAACCTTTCTGTCTTCAAATTTTAATGTTTTATCCCGTTCTGGTTGATGCGTGGAGAGCAGTACCTGCAGCCAGTCCACGGCTCCCAGCCTGACTTAGAGAGGTGCTTCTGTACCCCCTTACCCAGCACTTCGGTCCTGCAGGAGTTTATTGCCCAGGATGTGGTGGTTGCAGAGCAGCGAGGAGCTAGCAAGCCCTTCTGCACCCCAGCAGGTCTCCCCCTTCTCGGGGCGGGGGTGTGGGGGTGTGGAGGTGTGTGTGTCCTGCATCTTGGATCATTTGTTTACAGATACCAGGGTGATAGTGTCTGGCTGAAATTTTTTGCTGAGAGGTCAGTGTCATTCTTGTGGTCAGAGGAGGATTTAGATACTACAAAGAAAGACTTGGTAAGGCAGAGGGTGGAAAATGCAGGCAATTGCATATGCTATATATAGGGCGCCAGCCTTAACATGCAATCTTGATTTAGCTATGCGGATTGCAATGCACGAAGGCTAGCAACCGTGTACTCACAACGCTGCACCTTCCTTTAACTTCTTTTGAGAGAGAAATCTAGGCACAAATCGGTGCTTTTTGGATGGGTGTTTCCACTTTACTGTTGGGTGCCTCATCTTTTGAGAGGGTCGCATCTTACAGCCCCTCTCTGACAGCTGACAGCCTCCCACCCCTGAGCCCGAACAAGCTTGCTGCTGCTGGGAGGGATGCGTAGGGAGCTGTGAATGGGCATCCTCTCCTGTTTGTTTAGTCTGGGGGATGAGGAAAGCATTTTTATTTTTTTTATTATTTTTTTTTTTCTAATCCTGATTGACATAGGTATGTGAAGGCCTGCCCCTCTTGCGCTGCTCTGCAGGCTGTGATTATTTTTAGGAGCAGTACAAGACTGCAGAGCTGTGTGGATAAACTCTTGCCTGTGTTTTTGAACTGAAGGGAAATACACAGCCGGACTTCGCAGCAGGGTGATGCCTAGGGTTGTCATACAGATTCCCACAGCCATCCTACCTCTCTGAGAACAACAGAAAGGGATGAGGCGTAGCTGGTACTTTCCCCTTCTTTAAAGCATTAGTCAGCCTTCTTAAACCAGCTGTAAAGAAGCAAAAAACCCACAGTTTCAAAGACATAGCTGCAGCAAATCCCAAGCAGCAAATTAAGGACTTGAGTTTCCTCCCTGTCGGTGTCCTGTTTTATTGGGGCTGGCTGTGAGGGATCTGAGGCACCCGCGCGGTGCCTGGGCGATGCTGCCTGCTGGCTGCCTGCTCGCCGCGGGGCCTGGCCAACGGCACGCTCACCCAGGATTCACGTACCGACTCTTATTCAAAGGCAAACCCAAAGTCTAAGGAGAAAAAGCAGGGAGGGAGGCCAGACAGTGCTTCCAGACTAAATACCTGCTTGTGAACAGCTCAGGAAGGTAAGAGATGATAATCCCTGAGCTGTGAAGATTATGATTTCTTAGTTCCAGCTATATTTACACAGCTGCTCCACCAGAATTAAGAGCTAAAGATGACAGAATAGTTAGAAAGGAGAAGGTCGAGTACAGTTCTTGGCTGTGGGGTGCGTGGAGGGAGAGAGGATTTGAAACTGTTGGGTTTTCCTTGTTTTTCAAGACATGTTGAGCCCTAAGGGAAATAGATAGGCTTTTAGGCTGCTTAATTGGTTTAAAATCTTTATTGTTTCATGCACTGTAGTTTTCCTATTGCTGAAATGAAACAATACCTCATTTAAGAAAGCCACCTAATCACCGCGTTAATCTCTGGGTCCACTGACAAAGGAGAAGGTTAGCAGGGGTGTTGAGCCTTGTTAGACGCGCGGAGGGCTTCTGGCTGGCACACAAGCTGCTGTATTTCAAGGTCTTTTCTAAAAATAGCAGAATGGTGGAATTTAGGTCAGGCGAGGTAAAGGTGTGAAGCCCGATACCTCAGACACCACACACGGTCCAGAGGTACTGCCAGCCCTGTAACTGCTTATCTTCTGTTACCACTTTATGAATGATAAATAAGAATAATTTCATTTGAAGCATAACCTTTTCATGCCTTTCCCATTCTAATGTCTCTTGCTGTGAAAGCTTTAACGGGTTTTGGTATTGGAACATCATTGAGTTGGATGTCACAAGGATGAGTTCGTGAGTAAAAAAAAAGAGTGTTCCCCCTTGCTGCAGTGGCTTGGTTAGCTAAACCCGGTCGTCTTGTAAAGCTGGCCTAACATGGACAAAGATGACCTGTAAGAGGGAAATTTTCTAAAATATCTTCT